GTCGCACAAATAGACGCGGCCTGCGTGCTCCCCCAGAGGCAGAGGTAGGCCCAGAGCCAGTGACCACTTGGCATCGATGCCCTGTTCGACTTCATGCACAGGAGGGTCTATGCTGAGTACTGGTGCCCGGTTCTGGTTGGCCCAGGCCACAGCTGCTTTGTACCAGGGCTGATCCCGCAGGAAGGCATTCTCGGGACAATCCAGGCAGTTGATCACCAGGTCCACAGGGCTGGTGGGCAGATCTGTAGGTGGAAAGAGGGCCATCTGAAAACCCCTATAAAGTAGCAGCCCAGGCTGGGACTAGAACCATGGTGGCCCCCAGGAGTGTCTAGTTCAGACACCACTCCAATGCCTCTCCAGAGAATAGCCTTCTCAAGGCTGGGTCAGTACTCAGGCCCCGGAAGTTCCAAGGCCTGGTTAGGCCGGGTGCTAGAGACCAAGGGCGTGTCAGCCTGATGGACCACTGTCCTCATGGAGCTCCCAGGCTGAAGCACTGTCCTGCTGGGTGTGCAGAGCTTCTCAGGACACAAGGCCCTTGCCTCCTCCGCATATCTGACTAACTCCCTGGTAAATTATAAGCTCTGGGAAGGTGGGCTCTACTGCCATGTCAGCACTCACAGGGAGACCGTGCCTAGGGCTCAGGAGAAATGGGCTGACTGCCATTTGCTGTCTGGCCCAAGAAGTGTGAGCAGGCAAGAGCATGCTCATTCTACACCAGGCTGGCCTGCTTCAGACTGCCTGGCCTTGCTGGCCCCTCTCACTATCAAGGAAATAAGTGCTCCTTGCAGCCCAACCTTAAGAACAGGGAAGGAATCTATCACTTCTCTTAGGTGTTTTAAAAGGCTTCTCTGCTCTAACCAGGCCTCTGGGACAGTGTAAGAACAGATATCTCAACAAGTATGTAAGTCTTGACCAGCCCAAGAGGTTAAACTGAGACTAGTGGAAATCAGACCAAACTCAAAGGTGAGCATCCTCAGACTTGCCTCCTGGGGCAGTTGGGATAGAAAGGCTTGTGGGCAGCTAGAGGAAGAACCAACTGCCTGGAAAAGGGCATCATGTTATAGAGCTCAAGGGGGAAACCCACATACGAGAACCCCTCCCCAGGTCTCAGCCTTAAGTAATGACATATCTCAATTAGAGACTGATGGCTTCCTTATTCAGAACAGGCCACTACGGATTGAGGTGGTGGTGTCCCTGTGGGCCCTGAGGCTCTCAAGAGTGGGAGCGGCATCTTATCTTCCGCATGCCCACAGAAGCCTGGCCTGAGAGTAACGCAACCTAGAATGGCTTGCTGACATAGCTGAACACACCATTCTTTCTTTACTTGCCTTTCAGGTACCAGGCCCTCCGGGTTTTCCTTCTCCTTCACTGACCACTCTTTCACTGTCTCCTTAGC